GCGACAAAATACTATGGAACTCATTATAATCAGTGATGCTGTCTACACCATAGATGTATATACATATCTATGGTCTACACTGGATGCGGCGCGGCACGACACAACAAATCCCCGACAGAAAACTGCTGCTGACACAAATTTCAAATGATTCTCAACGGTCGCTTTGTCGCGTCAAGTGTACTAGACTTTAGCTATTGTGGCGCAGACACGGTGCTCACCTATCGAGAAGAAACAAAGCAACCTCAGCGTCCGATCGCAGGCTTTCTGCTCCTTGAGTTCTCTCCAGCGTTGGAAAGCTGATCCGATATTTACACGGGTCCTAATTATTGCCTTAAGCCTTCGTTTGTTCCGCAGACGTTTTCCTCTTTTGTTTTTTATTCACCATCTCTATCTCTTTTTTTCTGTCACTCGGCTCGGCTAATGTCCGTCCTGTGCACTGAACGCTCTCTCCTCCACATCACGAGTAGACACGCCCCTTACTGCTGATTGGCTACAAATTTGTTTTGCTACTCAGCCCAAATCAGTTTTCTAAAGCGTTTTTGAAAAATCGCTTACCCCACCTTTAAAGTCAGTTCATCATTGATTCAGTGATGTCATCATCCAGCTCTGTTAAAATAATGTCTGTGCATTCAAGTCGACAGTATTGCCAGAAATTAAGCTTCCGCAAATAACCAAGCCAGAGGCGACAGCGGCAAGGAACCAAAACTCCATCAGTGACAGAAATGGAGAAAAAACCTTGGGAGAAACCAGGCTCAGTTGGGGGGCCAGTTCTCCTCTGGCCAGACAAAACCAACATGGTGTGGTTTAATTCCAGGCTGCAAAACAAATCAGATTTAGCAGAGGATTCATCTAGTTCTCATGGTCTTGTAACGATGGCCGTCTAGGTGATGAGGTCTTTGCCGGGGATCTGTCTCTGGGACTCATCTAGTTGACATGGTCACCGCTGACATTCAGGGCTATAGAGGTCGTCTTTAGGTACTGATCCACCATCTGGACTGGATACAGACTAGATATGGGTGACTGCAGTGACCATCTGATCTTGATACAGACTGGATCTGGGTGGCTATGGTGACCTTGGAATAAGAATAAAAAAACTAATATTAGCATAGATGCCATTCTTCTTATGATGTAATGAGCACATCGGGTAGTATGGGAAGTGTTCCCGGATCCGGTTGACCTAATTAATGCAGCCTAACAATCCTTTAATGGATTTGAAGTTATAGAAATGTGTCAGTGTGTAAGCCAGGTTAAAAAGATGTATCTTTAATCTACATTTAAACTGACAGAGTGTGTCTGCCTTCCGAATAGTGTTAGGTAGATTGTTCCAAAGTTTGGGTGCTAAACAGGAATAAGATCTGCTGCCCGCAGTTGATTTGGATATTCTAGGTATTATAAAATTACCAGAGTTTTGAGAACGCAGTGGACATGAAGGACTGAGGAAAGCATATGCTTTAAAAGCATAATTTAGATATATTTTTAAGATGGAAAAAATCGGCTTTACAACTGCTAGAAACGTGGCTTTCAAAGGAAAGACTGTTACCAAGTAGCACACCTAGGTTTCTAACTGATGACGAAGAATTGACAGAGCAGTGTTAGACAGTGTTCTAGATCATTACATGTGGGAGTTTTTGGTCTGATAATTAACACCTCTGTTTTTTCAGAATTTAGCAGTAGGCAATTACTAGTCATCCAGTTTTTTATATCAAATACGCATTCCATTAGTTTTGCGAATTGGTATGTTTCGTCGGGCCGTGAAGAAATATAGAGCTGAGTATCCAAGGGTAACATGTAAAGAGTGAAAAGCAATGGTCCTAGTACTGAGCCTTGTGGCACTCCATACTGCTCTTGTGAATGATATGATACCGCTTCATTCACTGCTACACACTGAAGACGGTCAGATGAGTATGATTTGAACCATGTCAATCGGAACACAGTTCATGCATGGAGCTCTCTTCTAACGAGCTGGTTATCTGAATCAGGTGTGTTAAAAAAGATTTGCAAAATATGCAGAGTTGGGGTCACAAGGACTGAAATTGAGAACCACTGGCTTGGTGGGTAGTATCAAGCATACATGTTGCTATTTTGAAATGTATTAATGTATGTTGCTTTGTGTCATTAAAATGGGATTAACTTGTATTGGTCTCTTTCTGCTTTAGACCTGATGCCGCTGAAAGAGAAAAGTGAAGAACCAAATGAAATGGAAGGCAAAGATCAGTATAAGAAACATTATTTCACTGGAGAAAATTTTAGTTGCTCACAAACTAGACAGACTTTACAAAAGAAAGCTCGAAAGACAGGAACTAGAAGTCATTTCAATTGCCAACAATGTGGAAAGAGTTTTAATAAAAAAAGAACCTTTAACATTCACATTAGAATTCACACAGGAGAGAAACCTTACACCTGCTCTCAATGTGGACTAAGCTTCACTCAAAAAGGAACCCTTAACAGGCACATTAGAATTCACACTGAAGAGAAGACTTACACCTGCAAACTGTGTGGAAATAGTTTCATGCAAAAAGGAGACCTTAAAAACCACATGAGAATTCATACTGGAGAGAAGCCTTACACCTGCCAACAGTGTGGAAAGAGTTTCTGTCAAAAAGGAAATCTCAAAGTCCACATGAGTGTTCACACTGGAGAGAGATATTTTAACTGCCAACAATGTGGAAAAAGTTTCACTAAAAAAGAAAGCCTTGAAATCCATTTGAGAATTCACACTGGTGAGAAACCTTACACCTGCCAACAGTGTGGAAAGAGTTTTTGTCAAAAAGGAAATCTCAAAGTCCACATGAGTATTCACACTAGAGAGAGCGATTTCAACTGCCAACAATGTGGGAAAAGTTTCACTAAAAAAGAAAGCCTTGAAATCCATTTGAGAATTCACACTGGTGAGAAGCCCTACAACTGCCAACAATGTGGGAAAAGTTTCATTAAAAAAGGAACCCTTAAAATGCACAATAGAATTCACACTGGAGAGAAACCTTTTGTCTGCCCTCAATGTGGACTAAGTTTCACTCAAAAAGGAACACTTAACAGCCACATTAGAATTCACACTGGAGAGAAGCCGTACACCTGCAAACTGTGTGGAAATTGTTTCACTCGAAAAGGACGCCTCAAAACCCACATGAGATTTCATACTGTATAGAATCCTTATACCTGCCAAGAGTGTGGAAAGAGTTTCTGTCAACAAGGAGACCTCAAAGTCCACATTAGTGTTCACACCGGAGTGGGATATTTCAGCTGCCAATAATGTGTAAAACGTTTCACTAAATAGGGAAACCTTGAAGCCCACATGAGAGTTCACAATAGAGAAAAGCCTTTCATATGTCCTAAGTGTGGAAAGGGTTTCTCTCAACAAGAAAACCTCAAAGTCCACATGAGTGTTCACACTTGAGAAGCCTTATACCTGCCAACAGTGTGGAAATAGTTTCAGATGCAAAACATCCCTTAATAATGTAGCGTATCAGAGCAAATCAGACAATTTAAGATTCGATCAGATTGGTGTTAAAACAACCCAAAGAGCCAAATTCCACAAAGAGGCCCAGGACAACAAGACAACGTCATAAATCTGTGCACAATACCCTGGCGCCACGAGTCTGAAGCAAGTCCACCAACTAGCAACTTTGAGCAGCTCACAGCATTAAAACAAAAGAACACCTAGGGCCAGTTTTACTAAACAGGGCAAATTAATACGAGAGCGCAATTCCAAAACAGCGCCGATGGGAGGGGACATTTCTGCGGGTGATTTACTAACAATGCACAAATTAAAGAACACAGATGCAACATGTCATTTACATATCGACCAACGCAATATACCAAGCGCAGCGCAAATTAGCGTAGTCGCAAATAAAGAAATAAAGAAGCCACAGTACGTATGGGAAGTCCGGATCCGGTTGACCTAATTAATGCAGCCTAACAATCCTTTAATGGATTTGAAGTTATAGAAATGTGTCAGTGTGTAAGCCAGGTTAAAAAGATGTATCTTTAATCTACATTTAAACTGACAGAGTGTGTCTGCCTTCCGAATAGTGTTAGGTAGATTGTTCCAAAGTTTGGGTGCTAAACAGGAATAAGATCTGCTGCCCGCAGTTGATTTGGATATTCTAGGTATTATAAAATTACCAGAGTTTTGAGAACGCAGTGGACATGAAGGACTGAGGAAAGCATATGCTTTAAAAGCATAATTTAGATATATTTTTAAGATGGAAAAAATCGGCTTTACAACTGCTAGAAACGTGGCTTTCAAAGGAAAGACTGTTACCAAGTAGCACACCTAGGTTTCTAACTGATGACGAAGAATTGACAGAGCAGTGTTAGACAGTGTTCTAGATCATTACATGTGGGAGTTTTTGGTCTGATAATTAACACCTCTGTTTTTTCAGAATTTAGCAGTAGGCAATTACTAGTCATCCAGTTTTTTATATCAAATACGCATTCCATTAGTTTTGCGAATTGGTATGTTTCGTCGGGCCGTGAAGAAATATAGAGCTGAGTATCCAAGGGTAACATGTAAAGAGTGAAAAGCAATGGTCCTAGTACTGAGCCTTGTGGCACTCCATACTGCTCTTGTGAATGATATGATACCGCTTCATTCACTGCTACACACTGAAGACGGTCAGATGAGTATGATTTGAACCATGTCAATCGGAACACAGTTCATGCATGGAGCTCTCTTCTAACGAGCTGGTTATCTGAATCAGGTGTGTTAAAAAAGATTTGCAAAATATGCAGAGTTGGGGTCACAAGGACTGAAATTGAGAACCACTGGCTTGGTGGGTAGTATCAAGCATACATGTTGCTATTTTGAAATGTATTAATGTATGTTGCTTTGTGTCATTAAAATGGGATTAACTTGTATTGGTCTCTTTCTGCTTTAGACCTGATGCCGCTGAAAGAGAAAAGTGAAGAACCAAATGAAATGGAAGGCAAAGATCAGTATAAGAAACATTATTTCACTGGAGAAAATTTTAGTTGCTCACAAACTAGACAGACTTTACAAAAGAAAGCTCGAAAGACAGGAACTAGAAGTCATTTCAATTGCCAACAATGTGGAAAGAGTTTTAATAAAAAAAGAACCTTTAACATTCACATTAGAATTCACACAGGAGAGAAACCTTACACCTGCTCTCAATGTGGACTAAGCTTCACTCAAAAAGGAACCCTTAACAGGCACATTAGAATTCACACTGAAGAGAAGACTTACACCTGCAAACTGTGTGGAAATAGTTTCATGCAAAAAGGAGACCTTAAAAACCACATGAGAATTCATACTGGAGAGAAGCCTTACACCTGCCAACAGTGTGGAAAGAGTTTCTGTCAAAAAGGAAATCTCAAAGTCCACATGAGTGTTCACACTGGAGAGAGATATTTTAACTGCCAACAATGTGGAAAAAGTTTCACTAAAAAAGAAAGCCTTGAAATCCATTTGAGAATTCACACTGGTGAGAAACCTTACACCTGCCAACAGTGTGGAAAGAGTTTTTGTCAAAAAGGAAATCTCAAAGTCCACATGAGTATTCACACTAGAGAGAGCGATTTCAACTGCCAACAATGTGGGAAAAGTTTCACTAAAAAAGAAAGCCTTGAAATCCATTTGAGAATTCACACTGGTGAGAAGCCCTACAACTGCCAACAATGTGGGAAAAGTTTCATTAAAAAAGGAACCCTTAAAATGCACAATAGAATTCACACTGGAGAGAAACCTTTTGTCTGCCCTCAATGTGGACTAAGTTTCACTCAAAAAGGAACACTTAACAGCCACATTAGAATTCACACTGGAGAGAAGCCGTACACCTGCAAACTGTGTGGAAATTGTTTCACTCGAAAAGGACGCCTCAAAACCCACATGAGATTTCATACTGTATAGAATCCTTATACCTGCCAAGAGTGTGGAAAGAGTTTCTGTCAACAAGGAGACCTCAAAGTCCACATTAGTGTTCACACCGGAGTGGGATATTTCAGCTGCCAATAATGTGTAAAACGTTTCACTAAATAGGGAAACCTTGAAGCCCACATGAGAGTTCACAATAGAGAAAAGCCTTTCATATGTCCTAAGTGTGGAAAGGGTTTCTCTCAACAAGAAAACCTCAAAGTCCACATGAGTGTTCACACTTGAGAAGCCTTATACCTGCCAACAGTGTGGAAATAGTTTCAGATGCAAAACATCCCTTAATAATGTAGCGTATCAGAGCAAATCAGACAATTTAAGATTCGATCAGATTGGTGTTAAAACAACCCAAAGAGCCAAATTCCACAAAGACGCCCAGGACAACAAGACAACGTCATAAATCTGTGCACAATACCCTGGCGCCACGAGTCTGAAGCAAGTCCACCAACTAGCAACTTTGAGCAGCTCACAGCATTAAAACAAAAGAACACCTAGGGCCAGTTTTACTAAACAGGGCAAATTAATACGAGAGCGCAATTCCAAAACAGCGCCGATGGGAGGGGACATTTCTGCGGGTGATTTACTAACAATGCACAAATTAAAGAACACAGATGCAACATGTCATTTACATATCGACCAACGCAATATACCAAGCGCAGCGCAAATTAGCGTAGTCGCAAATAAAGAAATAAAGAAGCCACAGTACGTTGAAAAGAACCGAAGGCCAAAAAATGAAGGTTTGCTACAAGTTTTGATAGACCTGGTATTGCGTGACTCCTAGTTGAAGGTTCCAAGTCGTCTTATATTTCCTGAAGCAAATTAAAAATAATGTGTTCTTCTATAATAATGTTCTTCTGGCATTCAAAATAAATTAATACATGTGGAAAAAATCCTCTCCCTTCTACCACGCGCTCTCTGCAGTGCCTCCTCCTAGCAACAATTGCAGCAATTTCAAGCGCAAAATAAAATAAAAAACATGCTTTTTTTGGGGTGTTAAATAATGGCGCAAATGCCAGTAATTTGACGAGCGCAAATGTTAGTAAAACGCGTTGCGTGATTCATTTGAATACTCTCCTCCCATAACTTTTGCGTCTGAAGGCGAAACTCCTACAAATGCATATTCAATAAGGTCAGGCGCAAAAATAACTGTCCACGCCTTTTCAGCGCTAATTCCTCACTGCGTGTCTTTAGTAAAACCTGACAGTACAATTTTAATGCCCAAAGATGATTGCGCTGGCGCAAGCTGTTAGTAAATCTGGCCCCTAATTGATAATTCCAACTCAGGAGGGAGTTTGTCAAATTTGGGGCAAGTAACCAAGATTGATGGTCCAAGAGACTCACAGCATGACCATCACATGTAAATCCATGATAGAAATCTCGAGCTAAAGACTTCCTCGGATTGACTTTCCTCACCTAGCAGACAAGAACCAGACTGAGATTCCTTCTAAACTCTTTTGACCTTTGTTCTTCACAGAACATGTCCTCACGTTCACAGAATGGCACAGAGACTGCCTTTACATGTATATATGCACCTAAATGATGCTAAAATGACTTATGAGCAACTAATCATTCCTATGCATAACTCCATATTATGTATGTAACCCACACATTTGACTATCATGTCCTAATCACTCATTGGGCCTCATTCATGAAACATTCGTAAATATAGGAGTAAATTCTGAGTAATTTGCACATAACTCTATTGTTGCTCAGTTGTTGTACAAGTAAGATGATTGGTCGGTGTACTATTTGTCCCGCCCCTCCTCCATTGATTGGACGGCTGGGTAAAAAGTGACCATGACAAGCGCTGCGTTTTACCCAAAGCTAAACAGTTTATCAACTCTCAGCTTACAAGAAAATTAGCCTACTGATTGCCACCATTGATGGACACAGATATTTTTAATATTATTAAAAAAATGTATGACATTATATTCTGCAGTTCTTCCCTGTTGTACCGAATATCTATACTTTTCAAATGATCATATCGAAGTTAGTCAAATATTGTGACAAAATTAATTTTGTAGGGTGCCACAAGTTTGTTAAAATTTCCAAAGGGTGCCGCGACTAAAAAAAGGTTGGGAAACACTGAATTAGAAAGTTTACGTCAGAACGGCTTTACGAACGATTTACACAAAAATTCGTTTTGCTCGAGTTTCATGAATGAGGCCCAATGTGTATATCATTTTGAATAACTATTGAATAGCTTATAGGTTTATAATCGTGTCTAGTATGTGTGAGTTTGAATTTTCATGCTTTAAACATTTCTATCAATCAATTCTATTCTAGTTATAAAAAATCACATCCAAATTATACTCTGCAAGAGCAGGAAAATTCAGCCCATGTGACTGATAAGATAACATGTTGATTTTGGGAGGAGAAACATAGCAACTCCTCGAGCTAAGACAATGTCTAATTGGTCAAGACACCATTTGGGATGTGTCCAACAGCCCAGTTTAAAAACTCAGGACACCAACAAAATTTGCTTTTGCCACCACTGCTTTTCGCCATCGCTTTTTGCCGCTGTTTTTTTAGCGCTCTTTGAGCATGCTCTGGCTTACATACCAGCTGCTCCATACATCATGAGGAGAAATCTAGTCTCGTCACACTCTTATTTTCTTTTTTCTGTTTATTTTATTTTCCTTTGAGAGTTTCACGTTCTGAGTTAAGTTTTGCCACAAAGTCCAACTCTGACTGTGCCCGTCTCAAAACTTCAACCAGCCACTGACTCCGCACCATTCGTCAGCCAAAGGGGACCCCCTACACAGGCAACGCAAGTACCTTCAGATTCTAGCTGAACTGGTGCATTTAA